GAGTTATGATTTGAACGCAAATTCATTGCAAAAACAGTTGAGATTCAAAAGCAAATCCATATCTGTTGTCATAAACAGCTCTTTCACTGTATCTCACAATCAGACCATATCCTCAACACTCCCGACACATACGAGTGGACAGTATGTCGGGTACACTGACTGGCGCTGAGACCGAGAATTTGGAGGGAAAAACGATCGGCAAATCACACTTTGTAATCGGCAAATACCTGACCGGAGGTACGGGTGCTCTCCGACCACTGCGACCACTACACCCTCTGTGACCATATGCTGTGCTAACTGTCCCTAACTGTGCCCTCCCTTCCCCTATAGGAGCGTTCGGACGAATACACTTAGGGAAGAACACGCAGACGGGTCTCACTGTGTGCGTCAAACTCGAGTCTCAGGCCAGCCCTAAGCCACAGTTGCCTCTCGAGTACAAGTTCTACAAAATCTTGGGCAAAGGCAAAGGCATTCCCAACATCTATTACATCGGACCCGTCGGCAACTGGTCAGCGCTGGTCATGGATTTGTTGGGACCCAATCTGGAGAACCTGTTCGAGAAGTGCGAACACAAGTTCTCTGTGCGGACGACTGTCCAGTTGGCCATTCAGTTGATCGGCGTCTTCGAGATCTTTCACGGCCGGCGACTCATCTATAGGGACACAAAGCCCGAGAACTTCCTGATGGGTCCGTCGGGTTCGGACACTTACAACCAGGCGTTCATTTGCGATATGGGAATGTGTAAGGAGTATAAGGACGAGAAGGGCAACCATATCCCGGAGGCGTCGCGCAAACCCTGGACCGGAACTCTCAGGTATATGAGTATCAATAACCACGCGAACAATGAACAGAGCCGACGGGTAAGTGTGCCGCAAACCCCACCCCTAATGCTGATCGTTAACGCCTACCCCTACTGTTCCCTCACAGGACGACATGGAGGCGCTGTCGTATATGTTTGTGTTTTTCATGAAGGGTGAGCTCCCGTGGCAGGGCGTCGACGCCGCTAACATCATTGAGAAATACCGGGCCGTCGGCGATGTGAAGCGTAAGACAACGCCAGCGGTTCTGTGCTCTGATATGCCCGAAGAGTTCCTCAAGTTTACCGAATCGGTGCGCGGACTCGGCTTTACCGAAGATCCCAAATATAAGGCCTATATTAATATGTTTACCAAATTGTTGGCCAAAATGGGACACGACATGAATGAGGGCTACTATGACTGGGATAAAAACCACAAACCCAGGCCCGCCAAAGACCGCAAATAATCACGAGACACATCTCTAATCCATTCCCCACCCTTTTCTCAATTCCCGTTTTTATCCCCGATTTCACTCTTTGATCTCTCTGTCCGTGAAAACAAAAACATAACCAAAAACTATATTTATTTTTTTCTGGTTTAAAACAAATAGTTTTTGTCAAATTCAACAACACATCCATTAATTATATGAATTATTATAACGAAAATCTATTTTATTTTTTGTTTTTTCTATTTA